GAGCACAATATGGCAATCTACATCTCCAATTTTCTCATGTTACCACAGATCAGTGGACTCACATCTCTCATAGTAAAAAATCCCTCGCACATATGTGCTAGTCATTCCCAACACTAGGGGACAGGTGCTCATCTCTGTTTCAAAGCTGAAGAGCCAGCGCTATCTGAAGACATCTCCGTGGTTAGGTGGCCAGCATATCTAAAAGCCAAATGCGCACGGAATGCTGTTACCTTCCCACCAAAGGTGGTTCCTATTTTTCTACTTGTATTTTTACATGCTTTCGAACTGCTAGGTTGGCAGAACACATCTCTCATAGAGTTATCTTTACTCATATTGAGCACCAGACTGCAGTACATGGCCATTTCATCCTTATTTGGAACTCATCAAATATATGTATAGTAGTAGATTTGCGGGCTCTGCAGGCCCTAAAGCTCAGTGTTGTGGACAAAGGAGTGTATATGTCTGTCTACAAAGAAAAATATAAATCTCCTTCACCAAAAGAGGAAGTAGAAGTCATTCAAATTAGGGCATAACATGTATATCACCTGTACCTTCTAATCCAAGAGCTTAAGAAAAGGAAGCAGGACTGTATATATTAGTCTGAAAGTAGAATTACACATATAGTTGGAGATTCTCAAAAATCAATTGCCAACTGTTAGAGATAAGTTCCTGTGCTGGACAAAGGATTTAATCAGATGGTTTCAACATTACATTCTATGAGTAATTCGGTGCTTGTTCAGATGAATAATGCCCAGCATCATTATTCTCATGTTACACCAAGGGCTGAGTTTATATCCCAGTAATTTTCCTACCACTGTGTAATTACTATAGCACTAGTATTTAGAGATGAAGGTTTAGGGACTTTCCTGAGGCTCAACAGCAATGTGTTTCAATCTTGGCAACTTTAAAATGTGCAGCTTCGGCATGCTGCACATCTAGCTGGGAGCTGAAATCCACACATCTTAAAATTGCCAAAACCGAAAAACACTGCTCTACAGTAGCTGAAGGAAGAGCAATCTCTGCTCTTTAGCCATTGTTCTACACCAGCTCATGACTTCATTGTAGGCAAGATTCCTTATAGCAGGAGTATTGAGTATAGTTTATCACTCTCTAGAATGCACGCCTCATTTAAAATGTTATTTGGAATTGAAGAGTAGTTTCAAGGACAACATGGGTACCAAGCAATCTCAAACGTTCCAAAATCAGGCATGTTTAGGTCCTAATTCCCCCCCCCCCCATAATTTGGAATATGTCCTTTATGTGCTGTGCAAAGCCTAATGCTGGCTTTGAATACATGGAAGTGGTATACACATGTCTTACAGCTGCAAATGCTATGTGTTTTTGAAAGACTGGGAGTGCCAGTATGTGAACATTTCCTATAATTTCCTATCAGTATAATTTTTATACCTTTTTACACATCTGAAGAAAAAGTTCATGAATTATATGATTCAGCCTCTGGTAGCGGAAACCCATACTTAAAACTTACTCTGTTTACAATAATATAGTAACATTTAAGCCACCTCAGCACCTGATCCAAAACAAATACAAGAAAGTTTGCCAAAAGGAGATTCTATGTTTTCCTTTGGTCTTTGTACAAATCTGGAAGCTTGTCCTGTTTTCAGCCACTTTTGTCATGTTCTTCCTGTTGCTGCTGAGGGAAGCTTTTTAGGCAGAACAGAGGCAAAAGAAGAAATGCGAACTGAAACCAAAGATTTTATCCACACATGAAGGCGAATGGCACCAAAGAACACACAAGCACCCAAAAGATGATCAGAATCTACAGTATATGTTGAATTTCAATGTAGTACAAATCTTCTTGATAAATAACTTAAAAGCAGGTTATAACATCCCAAGATATCAAAAGCATGTGGTTTACAAATGTTAGTATTCTTAAGTCTCTAACCATTTATTTATTGCTTAAATAATCTCAGGATTGTTATAATAACTAAATATTTTTTTAAGCTTGAGTATCAACAGGCCATATTGTCATATTAATTTTAAAGAAGTAAATTGAAATAAGACTATTCAAACATAAGCTAATAGGATATATTCATGCATGGGAACTAAGAGCAGTACATTATTTGATGGATTACATTCATTTAAACTATGTCAAAGAGAATTTTCCAGGGGAATGACCTTATTTCAGCATATCTCAAACTGGATCTAGAGCTAATACAGCTGTTTACACCATAACTCCCCCAAAGCATAATGGCTGACTGAGGATTATGGGAGTAGGAGTCATAGATCATAAAGGAAGGTAGATTGAGGAAGGCTTCCTGATCAGCAAAGTCAAATACAAATGCTAGCCCAATCAGAAATAACTTATAAATTATTCCCTTTACCACTTAGAACCACTGGTGCAGTTAATTTCACTTTTTCACACAAATATTTTCCCTTCTCCCCAAAAATCACAAGTTTACATTTGGAGAAAAGTGATACTAAAATATTAAAAATGACATACCTCATACAGCAATCTCATACCACGGTCAGGACAATGCCAAAAGAGAAGAAATAATCATGTTCCTATTTTTCTTGTAAACAATTGCCTAAGAACATCCATCATTTCTGTTTCAGAAACTATCCAGAAATAAGTTGCCACACACGGGTTAAATATGGCTCAGAATTATCACCTTACCGTTTAATCAGCCATAAGGTAGAATCCTGTCTCTGCTTGCCCAAGCAATCAAACCTGTCTATAGTAAATAAATAGTTGCCACTGCATTTCAATACAAATATGAATTAACTTAACCTCTAACTAACCTCTAACTACTTTGGAGAAATAATCTTCTTCATTTATCCTGGGTTTCTATGGTCTCTTCTAAGAAAACAAAGTAAACCTTCTTCAATTGCATTAGTAGCCACTCTTTGCTTCCTGGAACCAGGATCTATCCACTGACAGTCCAACACCTTAACTACCCTACCACATTGGCTGTTTTTACTTTCTGTGCAGTTGTGAAATAAGTGTAATTCTGGCTGGAAATTCTGGATTCTTACTCTTGGGAAGGATAATGATTCCCATTAATACTTAAGCTCTGATTTCTATCTCCAGCTATTACTCAACAAGGTGAAGGAGGAATATAGTTCATAGGATTAGCTTTCTCGTATAGGTGAAACTGTCTTGTCAGCAAAATGCAGGGAACTGGGGCTGAGAGAACCTGCTACTCTGCCGGGCTGTCTGGTTTACATCACTGCTTCCTGACATGGCTAGTTGGTTCCTGCTGATTTCTTGTTTGCTATGCTATCTCGGTAGTTGAGGGATTTGCCAAGTTGAGGGACTTGGTAGTTGAGGGTAGTTGAAGCGACTGATTATGGCTAGGCTGCCTGGGCCATGTTTGACTGCAAATGATGGGGAAGCAGCAGTGGTGAAATTCATTTTTTTTAAACTACTGGTTCTATGGGAGTGGCTTGGTGGGCATGGTGTGGCTTGGTGGGCATGGTTTGGTGAGCATGGTAGGGGAAGGATACTGCAAAATCTCCATTCCCACCCTACTCTGGGGCCAGCCAGAGGTGGCATTTTCCAGTTCTCTGGACTACTCAAAGTTTCCGCTACCGGTTTTCCAGAACCTGCTGGATTTCATCTGGAAGGAGTTCTTCTAAACAAGATATGCTCAACATGTTTGGGCAATGTTTTCATTGATCCCATTTGTAGTCAAGCTTGGGGCCTGGGACATGTGGTTAAGCCCATTTCATGGCTATGTTGATTGCTATTTGTTTCCTTTCTTGGCTTCTTTTAATATTATTTGTGATTTTGTTTTGTTGTTTATT